GCATATAAATCCCAATAGCTCCCACTTGCCCTCATAGCCAATTCAAATTGCACCTAACTACAATGTTATCCAGATGATGATCAAAATTATTGATCAATAGCACCTTTGATAATGGATCAACAAAGTTGTGTTCCAATGCAATGTTCTAGCCACAAGTACATTTTCCTCATAGCCAATTCAAATTGCATCTAACTCCAATGTTATCCAGGTGTTGATCAAAACTATTGATCGACGACACCTTTGTTAATGGATCAACAAAGTTGTGTTCCAATGCAATGTTTTAGCCACAAGTACATTTTCTTGCCGGACAATATCATGTAGAACATGATACTTCCTATTAGTGTATTTTGTTCATCTATGGAACCTTGGGTCATTGGTTTGGACTATTTCTGCACTATTGTCGCAATATAACTCGATAGGCAGGCTAGTATGCTCCACAACCTCTAAATCAGTGAGATCAAACCAATAGGCTTCTTTTGCCGCCTTTAAGGCTGCAATATATTCCACCTGCAGGTTTGAGTCAGCAGTTGAAATCTGCTTAATAATCTACCAACTGATTTCCCTTCCATTAAGTGAACATACACTAAGTCATGAACCTCATAGTATCTACTTCTGATTGAAAATCAGAACTAGCATACCTGACTAGGACCATATCATCACATCCATAAATGAGTATGATATCATTGATTATCCTTAGGTACTTAATGATATTTTTCACAACAGACTAGTTGTCAAGTCCAGTATTGGACTGATCTTTACTGACTATCCCTACTATGTAGCGGATGTCCTGTTTAGTATAGACCATGGCATATATGAGACTCCCATATGCCAAAGCATATAGTTCAAGTCTCATTTGCTCAGTCTCCTCTGCTAGTCTTGGAAAACTACTTACTAGAGAGAGCAATCCATATTAATAAAACAAGAACTCATTCTTTGAGTTATGCATACCAAACCTGGTCAAAACTTTATCAATGTAGGATTATTAAGATAAGCCTATTTTCCTTTTAACCTGATCTTGCAAAAGCTTGATCCTAGGAATATAGCTTACATCTTGAAAAATCCTTCATTTAAAAGTAATTGAACAACTACCTCTTTATTGATGACAAACCTTCCACATCATTCTATACGAGTAGGATATCATCAATATATATAAAATCAGAAAAATAATGACATTCCCTTGTACACTCATAATTTATTCACTAAGAAATCTTCTGGTATCTTTTTGTAGATTAACTTGCCTTCCATAGGAATCACCCTACTAAAAAGTTCTACAAGATCCCAGAATTTATTAGAATATATAGATTCCAACTCTGATTTCATAGTAACTCGCCAAAACGATCTGTATCCATATCGGTTCACGCTTCCGTGTAGCTTACTGGGTCCAACTCATGTTTAACAGGGATGTCCATAACGGTCTCACCTAAAAACATTATTTTGTCGGATTAGATAATTATCCTCCCACTACATCAATGTATCGATGAAGGAATCTGTGTACTAGACGATGCTGACGCATCAATAGGGAATTCATCTATAATTCTAAATCTCTATACTAAGTGTGTTCATATGTGGTACATCTGGTACTCATACCATATTCTCTAACACTATGCTACTAGGTATGTGATTTATAATATGATTCTCCTATAGATAAACAGTGAGTGTAAACAATCAACTTTTATCATTGAGATCATAAAATAATCCGTCCTAGTGACTTTTAGAGTAGCTATCAAATCTATCATGCGTATGATCTGTTTCCAACTTACTTGTCCATATCAAGCGCACATGTGCAAGACTACCCCATATGCGCATGTGATTCAAACTAAGATTTAGTCAAAAACACTACTTAGTTAATATATTTATTTTGGTACCTTTGATTATTTCTGGCTCGATCACAATAAAATATTTGTTTGACAAAAATAATAATTTAAATAAATAAATATATAATAAATCATTTTGTCTAAAAATACACGAAGGCCTTCGAATTTCCTTTGTGATCAACCATAATCAATACAAAATAAATACAAGTAGCAATGATGCAAATATTGAAAATATAACCCTCTAACTATTAATTACATAGCTACCCAAAGTGTCAGTCTAAGGATCCCGAAGAATCCGCCGAACAAATCAAAGTAATTATTAATTAATAAAAGAGTTTATAATTTTCTCATACTTAAGAGTCAAATGCCATGACGGTGATAGGGAGCAATTGCATACGACGGCTCTCGCAATATATCTCAACCTAACGCGGATCCAGTTCAAATCTTAATTAATTATGAGTCCATCCATAATTACCGACTATGAACCATTTATGATTACTATTTATATATCATGCATTGATTGCCATCACAAACATATATATAAATATCTCTTGTAATCAAATGAACACTATTAATTCTATAATGAATCGAAATATAATACATTGAATTCACCAATTGTATAAAACATAAATATTTCACAAACGTCAGGAACATATGTCACTTTAATCCAAACAGGAATTTGTTATGCCAGGGCATATAAATCCCAACACTTGCGACTCCCCATCCAATTGCTGCAGGCTACACGCTTACTCCTCAACCCTTGTAGCAAGGTTGTTGGTAGATCACGAACACTTCGTGAATGCTCTGAGCCCTTCATAGCGATAGCTCGATCGCTTTCTTCTTTTCTCAAATCTAAATTGATGAAGACAAATAGAAACCCTACTTTTTATATACAAATTTAACTAAATCTTCAATATGCTTGAACTCTGATCAAATAGAGATCACTACCCTAAGATCACTCTCCTGTAATAATGTGTGCTCTGAAGTATAAAAAAATATACAGAACAATTAAGGTGATTTTCTGTAGAAAAATATTCTAAAAAAATTCTCAATAGCAAAAATATTTTCAATCTTTAAAACCCCTAATTAATCAAGAGAGAAATAGAGTTTATATATACTTGGAGAGTCTCTAAAATATATAGAAAGTTGTTTTAAAATTGTATAAGAACTTCTCCAAGAGTTTGGGTAAAAATAGGAAATTGAAAAGTTACCAAGATCTGATTTTTCACACATTCAAGAAAGTGCAACCGGATCTATTTCAAAGTGCAACCGGTTTGACTTTCACTGAATCCCATTTTCCTTTAGAAAGTGCAACCGGTTCTACTTGAAAATGCAACCGGTTGGATTTTTCCTAAGAGCTGTTTTTTGTGCAAGAAATGCAAATGGTTCTAAAATGAAATGTAGTCGGTTGGATTTTGTTGATTACTATTTCCAACCTAAACTCTCGTACCCAACTTTAAAAAAAAACACAAGTGTTCCCCATTCACATACCTATTGTAAATGATGTACTCATCAAATCGAAGTATGCTCGCACGTTACAACATTTGTAGTTTCACTTTCGATATCAAGACTCAAAGTAACAACTCGATCGGATACGTTTTGACACAAAAATTTGCTAATTATAAATTTTATATCTCACATTTTCATTTACATTTGAGATTCATTTGGCATTATTTAATTATATTTACAAACTGTGTGTCTCAAAATTATTGCTTCTTAATTTGATGACATATTGCATCTTTTTCATTTACTTGATGAGCATTTTGGCCACTGCAACAAAAATTTTGAATGAAAAAGGCAATTGTTTTGAAGGTAGGGGAGCACAGTGAAACAAAATGTACAAGTTTGATGCCATGTGTAATTAGGGCAAGCCTCATGGGAGGTTAGTATAATTCACCCTTAAATTAATGATGGGTACAGAAAACAGTAATAATACCGACCGGCTCTTTTATTAGTTTCCATAGAAAATAATTATATATATTTTTTCATTTTTATAAGTATATGCAATCCTCTCTTCTTTTTTATCAGCCGAGGAGCACCGAGCATGGGCAAAAAGAGACCCTTTGCCTTTTGTTCACACAAACATGTACGTCCCCTCTCTCTTATCATCTCTCTCTTCACACATACACGCACTATATAATATGTAATATATATAGTATGTAGCTATCCGTGGTTTGTTCCCTCTCTCCAGTTTACAACTGGACATGAATATATACACACACACACAAGGATGAGACAAAAACAGTGTAATTGAACTTCTATGAGCTTCTGTGTTCTGTTATGCAACTTTCTTAGTCATTGTCTAGCAATAATTATTTATTTATTTTAAAAAAAATTAGGTCTCTAATGCTATGATAATTATTGTTCATCTATTGGAGAAAAATGAAAATGTCATATGATAATGCTATGATAATTATTGTCTTTATCACGGGGAAATCTATCTCCTTGTTAAAAATAAAGAGAGAGAGAGAGAGAGAGAGAGAAAGAGTATAGAACTCTGTATTGTATTGTATTGTATTGTATGTAATGAGTTACATAAACGGCCTATTTATAGGAGAAGGTTTGGGACTAGGTGAGTGATGAACAAGTAACCTATAGATAATAATATGGTAAGTGTAATCATTGATGATAATTTGTAGTATGCAAGAAACTTATGTGATAGGTAAAGGGATAAACTTATAATCTAACATCCCTTTCAAACTCAAGGTGGGTATGAATGTGGGTTTTAGTAAGGGGTGTTTGAAGTTATTTCTTACAAAAAAATTCATATGTAAGTAATTAGCCCAAACTTCAGGGGAGCTGAGAGTAATTTATGTTAATAATGGTAGTAAGTCTCCAAATTGTGGGTAATGTGGCTTGTTGCAGGGTGGATAACATTTATATCAACGTGGGCTTTAATACAAGGAGAACCCATTTTCAAGGCGCTAGAATTTCATATTCTTATTGGGCCGATGATAACCTAATTCTACATCTCACCACTTTAAATTTTCATAGCTCAAGACTCGTTAACTTAACTCACTCTGAGCTAAGCTAACTCACAAAAAGGAATGGGCTTTTCTGAATCACTCTCCAGCCCTAGGGCTAAGGTTTTTCCCTGATGCTTGTCGAAGATCGAGCACAGGATAGAGGCTAACATTCAAATCGCTCAACCCTATGGCTTTTAGATCCAGTAGGTCTATTTCACCCATGTTTCATTTCATATTCGACACTCTCATACATCACAGAATCAATCATAATACACACAGAGTTGTTCGTTTTTTTGAAACACAATCAATAGCAAACACCTCAAATTTCACAGAGAAACAAGCTGTCACGATCTCTTACCTCACAAAGTCATGTGGGTTGTCTTTAGAATCTGCCATTTCAGCTTCTAAGAAGCTCAAAATTAAGAGCACTGAGAAACCGGACTCGGTTCTTGAGCTCCTAAGGTCGCATGGCTTCACTGAAAATCACATTTCTCGCCTAATTTCCTGTTGGCCAGGTTTAATTTTGGCTGATCCAGAGAGAACTGTGAGACCCAAAATTGATTATTTTGCATCTTTAGGTCTTGTCGGACCTGACTTGCCTAGGGTTCTTTGTTCATGTAACGTGTTAAATAGCAGTTTGGAAAACCAAATCAAACCCACATGTGATTTCCTTAAACAATACTTAAGGACCAATGAGAATTTAATTTATGCTATTAAGCGATGTAGCCGTGTGGTTCTGTACAAAGTTGAAAAAATTATGGTGCCAAATATCTACACCTTGCGGGCTCATGGTGTGCCTGAATCCCTTATTGGAAGACTGATCATGTTGCAGGTGGGCACACTACTGTTGAGAGTTGATGTGTTCAAAGAGGCTGCCGATGCAGTAAAGGAAATGGGTTTTGATCCCAAAACTGTATCATAACGTATTGGCTGTCCGTTCAATGTTGATTAATAGTAAACTCACCTGGGAAAAGAAGAAGGAAGCTTATATGAGCTTTGGTTGGTCTGATAGCACATTTAATTCCGCATTCAAATTGCAACCATTGTGTATGCTTTGTTCGGAGAAGAAGATCAAGGAACTGATGAATTTCTGTTAATAAAAAAAAATAATGTATCATATACTATAGTATAATTTATTTAAATATTATTTTGTAAATATAATATTTATTATAATAATCTATATATATATATTTATATGGTTTAATATCAAGAAAATAAAACTATAAAAGAATCTGATAAAGTCGAGGCTAGAATTTAATTCTATAGCCTTAAGACAGATACGCCCCGCTACGGTGCTAACGGACTCTTCGGCGTCTATCTCCCAGGATACAACGACTTTTCTTCCTTTGGTAGTAGCACTTCAAACCAATGGAATAGGCGAACCGGCTCGGTGTAGTACTCTCTGATGAACTCAGACTCGGAGACCAGGATTGAACCTAAACTTGGAAACCAAGGTTCGAACCCAATCCAAACCAGTTTAGGTTGAACCCAAACCAGTGGCTGAACCGAACAAAGAAGAAATTCAGAAGAAGAGAAGAATATTTCTGAATTTGGTGTAAATTGAAATGAACCCAATGATGGGTATTTATAGGCTTGTTGGTGCCTATTCTGAATGGGTGCAACCATTGTTGACCAATCAGAATTAAAAAACTGTTGGTGCTGGGTAAATAGTTAAACCCATTTCACAATCAAGTCCCGCCCCGCCCCGCCCTAGCCCGGACCGGGTCGGGCGGGCGGCGCGCGCGGTAGTTGGTTCGGATCCAGGCTAGCCTAGGTCCTCCCCCTCTTAAAAACTTGGGTGCCCTTGGGCCCAAACCCAAATCCCATACTAGACATATATATACTCAAGGTTGCTTTGCTACTTTTTCGATGTGGGACAAGCATTTCCCACTTTATTCACACCCATTTAGGCTTTATAAATCACTTACTTTGGAGCCAATTTCTCATTCACCCGGAAACGGATTTGAGAAAATAAATATACCACGTTCATCTCCTCGCAGAGACGAACGCGCTCATCAATAGATTCGCAAAAAATTCTTAGCGGAATCTTTTTAATAATCCTTCCAAAGTTTGCGTTTTCTAATGCCGTTTCCAACAATCCCCCACATGAATGAAAATTTTCGCAGATTACAAAAGGAGAAGATACAGACACTATAGAGAGTACTATTGGAAAGTTACTGCATCGGGATAGGTAGCTTTTGGCCTTGAACCTTCCCTAGTGTATTACTATCGGATTTACTAGCTAACCAGTGAACATTATGTCTTGAACTGTTCAGCCATTGATGTAAACCAAGACAATAGCAAACACACAATTCCTTCCCACACAAAGTCGGTTCTCACGGTTGTGTTCATATGGCCCTGAACAACGCCTGGTATTTCATGAGCGCTCCAGAAAACTTAGCCTTAGAAGTTCTCATAGAAGCGGCCCCACTTCACACTCATATAGGTGACTTCTTATTAAGAGTATCCTACCATACCCCACTTGAATTTTCAAGGTATAAGAGTCATTAAAAGCATAGCTTATCCTACTTATCGCTGTAGGTAACACTGTCTCATCATAGAAATAGGTAGAAGATTGAATCTTCCCAGTGCTTCTGGTGAGCCATTCAGAATTTGTGTTGTCCCTTTGAACCTAGATCTTGGGATCTCCAGTCAACTAGGTTGGGTTTCCATTAAGATGACTCGTTAGCTTTCGACTTTAATCCCATTCCCCTCGATGAACTATATACTTGCTCTCTTGTCAAACCTTTTGTAAACGGATCCGCTAAATTATCTTTTGACCTGATATAATCTATTGAGATTATCCCACTTGAGAGCAATTGTCTAACGGTATTATGTCGTCGACGTATATGTCGAGACTTACCGTTGTACATATTACTTTGTGCCCTTCCAATTGCTGATTGACTATCACAATGTATACATATAGCGGGCACCGGTTTAGGCCAATTTGGAATATCTTCTAAGAAATTACGAAGCCACTCAGCTTCTTCACCTGCTTTATCCAAAGCAATAAATTCAGATTCCATAGTGGATCTGGCAATACAAGTTTGTTTTGAAGATTTCCAAGATATGGCACCTCCTCCAATAGTAAAGACATAGCCACTTGTGGATTTAGAATCCTTAGTATCTGATATCCAATTAGCATCACTGTATCCTTCAAGTACTGCTGGATATCTAGAATAATGTAATCCATAACTTATAGTATATTTTAAATACCTTAGAACCCTAATTATTGCAGTCCAATGGTTCTTTCCTGGATTACTAGTATATCTACTCAATTTATTAACTGAGTATGCTATGTCTGGGCGTGTGCAATTCGTCAAATACATTAAGCTTCCTATAATGCGAGAATACTCAAGTTGTGATATGCTAGGACCAGTATTTTTCGATAAATGAAGATTTACATCAACAGGAGTCTTTACAAGACTACTATCCCCTTTATTAAAATTTTCTAATATTTTCTCAATATAGTGAGATTGAGATAATACTAGACCATCTGATGTTCTAGAAATCTTAATTCCTAGTATGACATCTGCTATGCCTAAATCTTTCATATCAAAATTTTTGGTCAACATCTTTTTAGTAGTTTTGATTATAACATCATTACTACCCATTATTAGCATATCATCCACATATAGGCACACAATGACATATCCATTTTGAGTGTTTTTCACATACACACATTTATCACACTCATTAATTTTAAAACCATTTGACAACATCACTTTGTCAAATTTTTCATGCCATTGTTTAGGTGCTTGTTTTAATCCATATAAGGATTTTACAAGTTTGCACACCTTCTTTTCTTTCCCTGGAACTATAAACCCTTCAGGTTGTTCCATATAGATTTCCTCCTCTAATTCACCATTTAAGAAGGCAGTCTTAACATCCATTTGATGTATTTCTAAGTTTTGCAGTGCTGCAATAGCTAGTAACAATCTAATGGATGTTATTCTTGTGACTGGTGAATATGTATCAAAATAATCCAGGCCTTCTTTTTGCCTATATCCCTTAGCAACAAGTCGGGCTTTATATTTTTCAATTGAACCATCAGGCTTCATCTTCCTCTTGAAAATCCACTTATACCCTAAAGGTTTAGTACCAGGAGGAAGATCCACCAGCTCCCAAGTATGATTTTGCATGATGGATTCAATTTCACTATTTATGGCTTCTTTCCATAAATTAGCTTCAGGAGAAGACATAGCTTCCTTGTAGCTTTGTGGCTCATTCTCCAATATATATGTCAGAAAGTCAGGACCGAATGACTTAGACGTTCTAGCTCTTTTGCTACGTCTAGGTTCTTCCTCATTTTCATCATCTATAGACTCTTGGTCTATATTCTCTTGTATATTGCTATTAGCAGTATCATAATTTCTTTTAAGAGGATTTTTGCAAGGAAATATATCCTCAAAGAAATAAGCATTCCTTGACTCAATAATTGTATTGACATGGATATCAGGAATGTCTGATTTATGCACAAGAAAACGATATGCACTACTATTCTGTGCATAGCCTATGAAAATACCATCAAAGGTTTTTGGTCCTATCTTAACTTTCTTAGGAGTAGGAACCGCAACCTTAGCTAAACACCCCCACACTTTTAAAAATTTATAGGAAGGTTTTTGACCTTTCCATAATTCATAAGGTGTCACATTTGATTTCTTTTGAGGTACCTTGTTGAGAACATAATTAGCAGAGAGCAAAGCTTCCCCCCACAAATTCTGGGTTAAACCAGAACTTATCAACATAGCATTCATCATTTCTTTTAAGGTACGATTTTTGCGTTCAGCAACACCGTTCTGTTGAGGTGAATAAGGAGCGGTAGTTTGGTGAATAATACCATGTTCTGAACAAATGTCAGCGAATGGTATTTCGTATTCACCACCTCTATCACTTCTAAACATCTTTATCTTTTTTCCAAGTTGATTCTCAACCTCATTCTTGTAATGTTTAAACATTTCCAAGGCTTCATCTTTACTTCTTAACAAATATACATAACAATATCTTGTGCAGTCATCAATAAAAGTAACGAAATACTTTTTCCCACCTCTAGTTGGCACAGATTTAAAGTCACAGATATCACTGTGAATTAATGCTAGAGGTTCAGTACTTCGCTCTATGGAGTGAAATGAGGTTCTAGTCAATTTTGCTTCTACACATGTTTGGCATTTTGATTTAAATCAATATTAAATTTAGGTATAGATTCCATGTTAATCAATCTACGAATAGTATCATAATTAACATGTCCTAACCTACCATGCCATACATCAGATGAGTCAATAATATAAGTAGAAGAAGCACTAGCTTTATTATTATCATTAATAGCTTTGGGTACAACAGTCATTACATTGAACTTAAATAGTCCATTACTTAAATACCCTTTGCCCACATACACCCCATTCTTAGTCAGCACAAACTTATCAGATACAAAGACCAGCTTGAACCCATTCTTGCTTAGTAGTGACCCAGAGACCAAGTTCTTCCTGATGTCTGGTACATGCAACACATTATTAAGAGTGAGCTCTTTCCCTGAGGTCATTAGTAGCTTGATTTTTCCTTGTCCTTCAACCTTTGCAGTAGAAGAATTCCCCATGTAGAGTTGTTCTTCATTATTTATAGTTTCATAGGTAGTGAACATCCTCTTTTCAGAGCAAACATGACGAGTAGCTCCTGTGTCCACCCACCATTCTCTGTTGTTGCTTACCAGGTTGATTTCAGAAACCACAGCTGAAAGATTTAACTCTGATACATCAGCTGTCAACTTATCTTCTTCAGCTATGTGCACCTCAGTGGTCTTCTTCTTGGGGTTATGATGTGTTTTGCGGCTACGACAATCTTTAGCTCGGTGTCCTAGCTTGCCGCATATGAAACACTTCCCAGTGAACTTCTTGTAGTTTCCTTGGCTAGGACCTTCTCCAGAGT